ACAAATCAAAATACACACAAAACTTTTGTGTATGTTTTGATTTGTTTTCAATTTTTTTTTTGTCATTCATTTTTTTATTCATAGGAACAAGAAATTTATATACTAAATAAAACGTTTTTGATAACTAAAAATTAAAAACTTCACACATTATACTAAAATATTATTTTAATTAATTTTTGCTTTAACAGTTAAAGTAATATCAAATCAATAATATCAGCAATAATCAGTTAAAGTTTAACTAATACTACTTTACGCACAAACTTAACGCATGGTTTTTTTATAATTGTCAACAATGATTTAACGTTGAAATAGCGTTAAAAAAACAACGTTTAAACCGTAACGTTGGTTTAACGTTGTGACATCGTTGGACAACGTTGAAACAATGCTTCAACCGAATCTCAACGTTGAAACAACGTAATAATGCCGGCTGGGATGGTTCCTCTCCATCCTCTTCACAGTGTTTCAAACGAAAAATCTTTTCCTTTTGCAGTAACTTTTTATTCTTTTAACCTGTGTTTTTGGTTGAGGACTAGGAAACCTCTCCCTTTTTCTAAATCTCTTAGCTGCACAACTATCACTTTAAAAGTATATACTTTTAAAGTGATAATTGTGCATAGTTGTATATAAGTTAGTTGTATAAGTGATAGTTAAATTACGACCTCCCAATCGATAGAGAACGATTATCGAAGTCATGACTTATGAACGTGTTTGTATTCACGCGCTCTGAGACACTTGAGAATTGAACTTGTGATATTTTATATATTATTTGCGCTAGTGAAGTTGTGTAATTTTTTTAAATAACTACAGTTATGTTTTAAATAACTATTTATTTAAAACATAACTGTAGTTATGTTTTAAATAAATAGTTATTTAAAACATAACTACAGAACGTAAGCTTTGATAGAAGACACGTAGATTTGATAGATTACAGGACACTTAAATACCGTAGAAGATTTGATAGATTACAGGACACTTAAATCCCAAAAAGAAGGTTTGTATATGCGTTAATCCTTTGTTAGAATTAATTGATGATTTATTAGGTCCTAACAGATCATCTTGCAGTTGAATGGATAAATTTAGACCTAGTTTATTATTCCCGCTCAACGTACGAAAAGTCCAAAACTAAGGGAATTCTAAACTTTAAAACCATCGGCGGGCGTTTAAGTTGATAACTTTAAAAAAAAAAAAAGTTGGAAATACTCATTATATTATACAAAAAGACTTTTAAGAACAGTATGCATCAAAATTTTGATATAACTAAAAAAATGGCCCAGGCTAATGTATCTATTGTATGTATATTTTACGACTACAGCTATAATAATAATAATAATAGTAAATAATCATTTTATTTGTATTAAACCCGATTAAAAAAAAATAAAAGGATTTAAGATTTTATTTGTGATCTGACGCTATGGCATTTGACACTTTTACATAAAATTCACTCAAATGAAGTTAGGTATTTTTTTTAGGTATTTTTTTTGTCAAAACTAAATAAAAAAACGCGAAAAAAAAAATGCTCAAACTATTTTACCAAAGTGTTAGTCTAACAAACTCAGAGATTTTTATCTCTAAGTTTGTTAAACCAACGCTAATGTATACGATAAAAACAAACCGCATAAAAATTCCGCACAGTGAATTTCACAAGTAAGTTTAATTACTTTTTGACATCCCACTAACAGTTGTATTATTTAGTGTGCGGCAAAGACAATGTTGTTTCTTGGCAGTGTGGAATAAAGTAGGAATTAAAGGCAAAAAGTAGTTACCAGTGTTACGGTAATTTAAAATTAGAATACAGATAAAAACGTCCAAAACAAATATAACATATTGCACCCACTCAATCTCATTTGTCAGATATAATCTTTAGAATGTTATTTGTGAATACGATTATAAAAATATTATTTATCGAACATACGAATAAAAAACACGACATAAACGAATAAAAAACAAAACGACAACACGAATAAAAATATTTTTGTAATGGTAAAGATTGTGCAAAAAAAGATTGTGCAGAAGAAACTAAAGAGCCTTAAATAGTATCGCTGTATGTGAAGCCAGATTACTAAACGTTGTTGCATGTACTTTCTAAAATAATTACTTTCTGTTTATATGTTTATTGTGTCATGTCCCTGTTTATCCAGGTGAGTTTTATAAATGAGAAGTAAGTTATCATTTTTAGAGTTTTAACATGTAAATAATTTGAAAAAAGTTTTATTTTTATGCTATATAGTAATCATGTGTATAGATGTTTAAATTAGTTCTTAATCTTAGGTTATTAGTTTTACTGTATACGAGACGCGCCTGGTATATATGTTGTTTCACCATCACATCCGTTACATGATAGAAAATAAAGAATACTTTTGAAATTACATGATATTGAAGTTTTAATTTTCTATACTTTACCAGATAATGTTGTAAAATGGTTAATAAGTTTAAGGTACATAGTTCAATACTTACAACGTTTTGATACGCATTCAATAGAAGTGTTTTCAAAAACTGATTTTAATTTATTGTCTAAAACAGGCAGTTTCATAATACCATGTAGAGTAGTTATCAAATTTTCGAAATTAGTATTAGCAAAATTTGTAGTTACAAAAAGTAGAATTTTGTTCTCTTTTATGAGGTCCCTGTAGTAAAGCTTTAAAAATTTCATTAATAATGGTTTTCACTGGGTAATTGCATCGAACTAAAAATTGATTTAGTTGTTGAAGTCTGATTTCCATTTTTGTTCGATTAGACTCAAAACAAATGATCCGTTTAGCTATGTAAAATGTATATTTTTCTTTGTATGTTTAAGTTGATGGCTATTGTAATTTTTTTCCCATAGTTTTTTTCCCATAGCTGTTCCGATTGATTGACTGAAAAACTCATTATTTAAAGTAAAATGATTGTTCTTTAAAAAAAAATTTCTTTCAAAGATAAAAGTTCTAAAAATAAAAAATAAAAATTCTGAGATAAAAGTTTCCAAAAATCTGAAAGGTATATCATCTCGTAGTTTACATATCCAAAATTTAACTCCTTCTAAACCTAGTTCATGAGAAATCTAGTAGAGAAATATTAGATATATTAACACTTTATAATAATAGTGGTATTTGCTACTCCATATTATTAGCCAACATTCTCATGAAATGCCAATCATCTTTGATACGTGTTGTTAATTTGGGTACAAGAAGTGATTCACTAAGGCGTTGGGTAGGTGAAAAAGAACCTCCTACTCTTTGACTTCCATTTGAAACGTCTGCCCATAAACGTCACGACCGATCACTTTTTTTCTAAAGGACATTCTTCTTATTATTTTTTTGAAGAAAATTCTAGATACGGAAGAATTTTTTTAAGAATTGACGATTGTACCTCCCCCCCCCCCCCCCCACTTTGAAACCCGTGTCGTCGGCCCTGAACACCCAATATATTCTTTATTAGATTCTTTTATAAAATTTTCTATTGCATTATATTTGTGAATCTTTGGTAACACATAGAAACTGCTAGTTTTTCATTAATACTTTTTGAGATAAGTTTTTTTTTTTGTTAAACATTCATTAAACCCATCAGAACTAAACACTCTTGATACTCTTCAGTTCCTCATTTAAAATATTTGTAAAAATTTAACTAGTAAATATATTTTACAACTTAACGACATTATTGTAGCTACCTGGTGGCTGTAATATGTAATGTAATAATAAAATAGTAATGGCTTAGTATATGACATAAATATGATTAACTAATATACTGCGCATATTTGTTAACTGTTTGCTATCTTATCTAGCTTCCGATCCTGGTTACCAAATCACTGTCTTTTTCGTTACAAGTTGTCGCCAACTAGTTAACTAGCTGTCGACAACGTTAAAGACAGCGATTAGTTGGCTAGCTGACGCCAGCTAGTTAATTAGCCGGCGACAACAATAAAGACTCTAGTTGTGGGTAAATCGCTGTTTTTACCGTTAAAGGTTGGTATATATTCAAAATAGTCGTTGGTCCATATATTTAAAATAGTCGTGCGACAGTCGTGCGACTGTCGCAAGACAGTCGCGCGATCATATGGAAACATAAGTTGTGCGACAAGTTTTATCTTGCAAGACTGTTTTATAGTCGTGCCATAGGTGTCGCATAGATAGAAAAAATTCTATCTCTACGACAATTGTCACACGGCCCTACAATGCAATTAATTGAATATTAGAAAACGAAATATTAATTAAAACAAAAAAAAAATTCACATCGAAATAAAATGGAAAATAATCAGAAAAGATTTTAGTAAAGAGAGTTTCATGCAGGAAGTAAAGAAATATCCTATACTATATGAAAAATTCGATACAGAATTTAAGAACAACGTTACTAAAAAAAATGTTTGGGCAGCAATAAGAGTTTCGTTTGGTTTAATTGACCAAGAGTGTGAATCGAAATACAAAAATATTAGGTCTGCTTATGGTCGCTTTTCGAGGAAAAAAAAGTACACCATCAGGTCAGGACGAATAAATATCAGCAAAGAGTACGATTTTTTCTATCTGTGCGACAGGGTTAGGGTTAGGGTTAGGGTCGCACGACAGTCGCACGACTGTCGCACGACCATTTTAAATATATGGAAACCAACCTTTACGAATATTGCTAGATAGTCCGTAGCTGATTTCCCACTGGGTGACATCTCATAAAAACCAATTATATTCGATCCATTGCAAAAATATTGTCTGTTAAGGTTGCTTGATTTTATTCACGTTTGCCTGATTAATTTTCAAGATTCTTACGATGAAATTTAAGTAAAATAATATTAAGCGGCAAAATTAAGGAAAAAAAACCAAATCAAAGCTCACCGTAATAAGTGTTATTATTAATTAGAAGGGGTTTACTTTACTTGAATTATTTGCTGCTTTTATGGTAACTTTGATTTTTTATTTTGGTATTTTGCTTTATTTGTATTAAATTTATAAATAACAAAAAAATAAAAATATTTACATCGCAATTATACTGGCCAAACTCATGCATGCGCCAAATTGATAATCAAAATTTGTAGATCAATAAAGATAAAATGTGATGCGTTACCCTATTCAACGATATTTTGTAAAAATTTGACAATTATATTAGAGCTAACAATTTTTTTTTTTTTTTGAAATAACATGAAACCAAATTATTTTATATCATTGCGAGTCTGTAGTCAAGAAGTTCTCAAAAATGTTTCAATGTTACAAAAAAATATTTCGGATCAAAATTCAGACTATGACCCTGGTTTTGTTGATCCTAGAACTGCACATCTTACACTTGGGGTAATGGGATTAAAGACTTGTGACTTTGCAAATGTTTTTAGTGCAATGGAAAATGTAACAACTAAAGTTAAAGAAATAATCACTGGTGATGAAATCCTTCACTTTGATGGTTTAGCCAATTTTGGTGGAGAGGTATTGTATCTGAGTGTCAAAAAAGATGACTCATACCAACGTCTACTTTCTCTTGTAGAAATATTCAAAACAACTTTTGTTCAATATAATGTTCCATGGAATGATGAAGTTTTTACCCCACACGTAACCGTATGGAAGCTATCCAAAAACTTTTCCTACTTCAAAAAAAAAAAGATTAAAAAAATTCCTAAGGACTTAATAAGCATTTCTTTGAATTCTTATTTTGGTTTTCAAAAAATTGACCAAATATCACTTTGTTCAATAAATCATTCAAAAGAGCAAGATGGCTACTATAAAGTCATTGCATTTATTGATTTAAAAACAGGAGATTTTACAAATAATAAGCTTGTAATTATAGTACTTTTTAAATTTGGTTGTCTAATATGAAAACAATAAAATTCCAAAATTATATTATCTATGAAAAAGCTCATATATATATATATATATATATATATATATATATATATATATATATATATATATATATATATATATATATATATATATATATATATATATATATATATATATATATATATATATATATATATATATATATATATATATATATATATATATATATATATATATATATATATATATATATATATAAAATGATATATCCTGTATACCCTTTATTTTGTTTTACCATTTTTCACTTCCAAAGTTTTTTTTTACTGGAAGTATAAAATACCCTAAAGCGTGCTAAATAATTTTCTCCTGCAGTGTTACATAGCTCTATGATTTTAAATCTTTTAATTAAAAACTTTATTTTTTTATCCCTTAAAAAATATATTCAATCCTTTTATTTTGTTAATTTTTAATCTCTTACTTTATTTCTCAACGTCTATAAATCTCTTAAATGATCTTGTATAAAAACTGTTGTCATATTTGGACTGGATCTTTTAATGATGCTCTATTTCTGTGAATTTAGTTACCTAGCTGCCAAGTTTTAACATCTGTTGTCATAAGGTTGCATCTTATTTTTCTTCAAATACTGTTATGGTTGCTGCTTTTTATTCTTGTTTCATCAACCAAAACTTAATCTTGAGTGACTCGACATAGAGCAAAGTTGCATACTTTTGTTTTTTTTTTCTGTTTTTTGATGTTTAAAAAACATTTGATTATCTAGTTATTGTCTTTGAACATAAATTCTTTAGAGTTCTTTTCCATTTTCATGCTTTTTTGATTTATACAGTTTTTAGGTAAGTTTTTTTGTCAAATGTATTCTTGCTTTTTGTTAAGTTCAAATGTTAGAAGTGATTTTGTTAAATTATATATATTTTTGTGTGTGTATATTTATCTATATTATAACACATAAAGATAATATGTTTGATTTTTTTTGTGCAAAACTAAGAAAAAAATGAAGAATAATAAGAAAAACTAATTGCTGCCCCAACCAAAATAAATGATTTTTTTTTTTACTGTTTACATCCATGGCTATTGGGTGTTAGGCCCCCTCTTAAATTCTTTCATTAGAGCCCCAAAACCTTAAAAAATTTTCCATTATGCATTACAAAAAAAAAAAGCTCCCTACATTTGCAAAAAAGCCCCTAAACTCACAAATGGGCTGCCTAAATTTGTTGGGCGCCCCCATGGGTATATATATGTATATTAGGGCGGGTCATTTTTCAACTTTTCCAGTAAATGCTTAGTCCATATGATTTTTAAATGTTTTGGCCCTTATATAAAAGTAATCCAAAAAAAATAAAAAATTTTTATTTTCAGGTTTTCAAATTTTGACCTAAAAAATTGAGGTTTTGGGTAAAAAACGCTATATACGCGGTTCGCTGCAACTTTTGACCGGTTGCTCCAATTGACTTAAAAACATCTTTTATGGAATCCTCGATCCCAAATACCCTTAATTAGACACCTAAAAAGTCATTTTAGCTTAAAAACTTATAGTTATAAAAGTTAAAAAAAATCATTATTTTTGATATATTTTGCTGGAATATCTTGCAGAGTTACAATATGATGTTTTGGTTAAACTTGAATTTATTTAGTAGATTATATGAAAAAACTTATAAAATATCATTCATAAGTTGCTGCATTTGTATTGCCGCATTTTAAAATGTTGCTTTAGCATCTGAATTTGCTGCATTTTAAATGCTGCATTTGAGTTGACACGTTAAATCTACAAAAAAAAAAAAAAAAAAAAAAAAAAAAAGTAGTAGCCTCCTCGACTGTAGTGGTCCCCTCGGGCCTTGGGGAGGTGAATAATTAAAAAAAACAACAAAAAAAACAAAAAAATATTGTTTTTAAACTATTGATAGCTTTGAGTTCTTTATCGATGGCTAAGCGAACACGTAAAAATAGTCAAAGTTGCAAACTAAGTGTTATGATTGGTTTTGCAAGTGAGTGTTTAGATTCTGAGTTCCCCACATAAAGAGATGTTATAAAATATGGTCTGCTTCTAAGAAGAGATGAAAACTGCAAAGCAAATGCAAAACTTAAAGATACATGCATAAAGGTTTTCTCTAAAGTGATAATACAATGGTTGAAAGCGAATCCTGAAATTCCTATTGTGACGGACAAAGTGGGTGTTAATAAAATAATAAAAGTATGGAAAAAAGCTACGGATATTATTAACTACAGGTGTAAACCTGAAATTATTTCTAAGTTAAACTCTACTCTGGACAAGCTATTTGGTATAGCAAAGTGCAAGTGTGACATTGTTTCTTGTGAGGAGGCTAGTTGTAATTTTTGTAATTTTAAAGCGCATATTTCTTGTCAATGCAATAAATAAAACAAAATTCCTACAATACAACTTCAGTTTATGAAATTTCAAAGAGAAAAATTTGGAACAAAAAGTAGTATGCAAATGGGTGCTTTGGATTTTAAAGAAACCAAAGTTGATGAAGCAATTAAAATCTAAAAATTATAATGTTGTAAAAGATGAAGTTCAATGCATTTTATTTGATGGAAGAAAGGATGAGACAAAATGTTTTTTGATGGGAGAAGATGGAAAATTTCACCACAGACTTGTTCAAGAAGACCATTATTCGGTTTGTGCAGAGCCAGGTGGTTTATATCTGTACCATTTTACAAATGATAAAGAAAATCGATCTGAATGTAATACCCCAGCAGAGCACATAACAGAACATATATATAAATGGATTATTGAACATTATTGAACATGGGGTAGAATCAGCTCTAGTTGCTGTAGGCTGTGATTTTACCAATCCTAATACAGGTAAATGATTGATAATAAGTACAGGTAAATATTTAATAATAAATGTCATACATATATTTAAACACAATTATTTTTTAGGTTGGAATGGAGGTATCATTCCTTTTTTAGAAAAAAAACTTAAAACAAAACTTATTTGGATAGTTTGCCCTTTGCACACAAATGAGCTACCCTTGAGGCACTTAATGTCAATTATTGACAGGAAAACAACTTCAAATAACAAGTTTTCTGACAATATTGTTAAATGATCTCATAATTTCTACTGTGATTCAAGATATAGATACTGAAATTAATTTATAAGATATTGATGAAGATATTTTAAAAACTTTATTGAGTGATCAAAAATATCTATACCGAATAACAAAGGCTATTGAAAATAAAATAATGCCCAAAAATTTAAAAGAAATTCAAGTTGGTCCCCACTATAACGCATGCTGGTTGAATTTGGCAAGTAGACTTTGCAGAATTTGGTGTTCAGAGCATGGACTAAATAAAAACGATGTTGAGAATTTAAAACAACTTGTACAGTTTTGTGTTGGTGTATATTCTGTATTATGGTTTGAAATTAAAGTAAGAAATGTTTATATTTTGTTTGATAATCGTCTATTTATTTTTGAAAAATGTATTATTAATGTTTAGGTAAAACATAATTGGACCAATGGACCATACCATATTATCAAACAGCTGGAACTTGTTTGAAAAATGAACTTAAATATTCAACAAGCAGTTTTGCCCTATGTTTGCTCCTCTGCCTGGAATGCTCATAGTGAATCTATTTTACAAGCACTACTATGCAAAAAAAAAAAAATAAAGAGGAGAGGAAATTTGCAGTGAATAAAATACTTTCAATAAGGAGTTCAAGCTCCCTAGGAATTACTGCTGTTAGACCAATAAATATTCCAAATATAAATACTAATGCTTAAACTATTATTGAATTGATTGATTGGAGTAATGATATTTACGAACCTTTGCTCACATGCAAGATTGGTAAAGAAGAACTTATTAAGTTTTTAGAAATCCCAATGGAAGTTCCAGAATTACCTGTACATGGGCAACCCATAGAAAGAATTGTAAAAGAAGTTACAAGAGCTTCTAGTATAGTTTATGGACAGAAAAGACGAGACAGATTTATAAAGGCAACAATAGCTCACAGAGAACTTCTTCCTGTTTTTGAATCTAAACAGAATTTGCTTAAGCTTTTTTAAGCAATAAGTTTATATTTATTGTATATTTAGTAAAATTAAGTTTACTCTTGCATTGTGAATGATAAATTGGTAAATACTGCTATAAACAATAATTAATGATTTTTCATGTTTCTAATTGGCTGTGCCTCGCGTTGTGGTTGAGAAATCCTTTGAAACTGTTTTGCTGCCTTACATTCACATAACATTGTTATGGGAGATATTCCAGCAAACTATATCAAAAATAACAATTTTTTTCAGCTTTTATAATTATAAGTTTTTAAGCTAAAATGATTATCTAGGTGTCTAATTAAGGGTATTTGGGATCGAGGATTCCATAAAAGATATTTTTGAGTCAATCGGAGCAACCGGTCAAAAGTTGTGGCAAACTGCGTATATAGCATTTTTTACCCAGTACCTCAATTTTTTAGGTCAAACTTTAAAAACCTTAAAATAATTTTTTTTTTTTTTTTCGGATTACTTTTATATAAGGGCCAAGACATTTAAAAATCATATGGCCTAAGCATTTACTCAAAAAGTTTGAAAAATGACCCGCCCTAATGTATATACCCCCTTTGGTATATACATATATGTTTATATATATATATATATATATATATATATATATATATATATATATATATATATATATATATATATATATATGTATATATATATATATATATATATATATATATATATATATAAATATATATATATATATATATAATATATATATATATATATATATATATATATATATATATATATATATATATATATATATATATATATATATATATATATATATATAATATATATATATATATATATATATTCACATATACATCAAGGCTATTCCAGACAGGAATTTATCGCCAATTTGGGAACCGCCTAAATTAAAATTTGAGGACCTTCACTTAAATATTATGATTTTCCACTAAATTTCTTCAGGATGCAGGGATGGGGGTGTACTGCCCTCCAAATTTTTTTTCTAGAATAGCCCCCAATATATATATATATATATATATACATATATATATATATATATATATATATATATATATATATATATATATATATATATATATATATATATATATATATATATATATATATATATATATATATATATATATATATATTGTTGATAAATAGTCAAATTGTCTGTTAAAAGTGAACAAAGATTTTCAATTTTTTTTTTTTTTTTTTTGTATTTATTGTTCATCAAATTCTTTAATGTTTTTGTTTTCTTAAGGAAAGTTTTCTTAAAGTTGCTGCTCTTGCTCCAGTAAATATTGCTGTTATCAAATATTGTTAGTAATTTAACTTTGCTAATTTATATGTTGATCTATTATTATATGTAATAAATTATAATAATAAATTTTGTTTTTATTTTTAGTTTAGAACTTTAATATAATTTTTTGTTATATAATGTCAGATATGGTTTTTATTCCATCAAAAGTTTTGTAATATTTTTTAAGGGGGAAAACGAAGTGAAGAATTAAACTTGCCTTTAAATTCTTCTATCAGTGTTACATTACATAGTGATGATGTAAGTTATATAATTATTTAAATTTTTCTTTCAGTGTTACATTACATAGTGATTATGTAAGTTATATAATTATATTAGTCTGTACTTATGATGTACTGATGATGTACGTTATATAATTATTTTGGTTTGTGCTTATTTAAAAAAATATTTTGGTTCATTAAAGCTGATTTTAAAAAAATATAAAAATATATAGAAAATGTAGTTTTTCAAAATATAATGGTATTTATTTTTATACAGTTATGCACTAAAACAGAAATAACACTTGGCGATGGTGAAGATGACATTATTTGTTTAAATGGAATGTAAGGTTTTGCTTTATTTAACACACACATATCTTTACAGTATGGGACAAAAAATAGTGAATTTTTTTTTTGTGTGCTTTTTTTTTTGCAGTTTCTTTTTAAAAAGGGTTTTTTTTATTCTATTAATCAATTCAAATCAATGATTTGGAATTAGTTAACAGCAAATTCAAATTCCTGTTGAAAAATGCTATAATTTATATATGTACAAGTTTATATGAATCATCAGTCTTTATAAGAATATTTCATATTTTAAATTTTCGTTTGTTTTAATAAAATCTTAAGAAACAATCTGTGATGGTAAATAATGACCTTTTATCTGCGAGTTCTTTACTTCCAAGCATATACAAAGGTGGGAATTGATCACATATATTAAGGTTTCATGTTTCTTTTGCTAATTAATAAAAAAAAAATTTAGGATTGTTGGCTACAGATTTTTTGAAAGACAAGTTTAAGAATACAGTTGCTGTCCCAGTTGCCCCAATACTAGTAATGCTAATACTATTGAGAGCGCTTGGGGAATGGTGAAAATAAACAATAAACATAAAAATTTCGAAAATCGTAATAATGTCAAGAGAACATCAAAACAATATTTTCTTTGAGGCATATTATCAACTAAACGTGTTAAAAGTTCTGGTTCAAGAGTCTCCCACCCTTCTTTTAAAATAACCATCAAATCATCAGGGTGTTACATCTACGAAGCTTTAAATGTTGGTCCAAAGATTCTCAATAGGATTTAGATTGAGACTCTGTGATGGCCAATCAAATGTTTCTCATTTCTGGTTGACGACATATGCTTTATTATTTATTGCAGTATGTTTAGGATCATTATCCTGCTAAAATATAAAATAGTTTTTTTGCACTTGGCTTGAGTTGATACTGAAGGATCTTGTGATACTGCTTCTGCTCCATAATACCTTGTACTCGATAAAAATTACCTACACTGAGCAGCAAAGCAACCCCAAACCATTAGTTTGGCATTGTGATTGACAGTTCCAAAAGTGCACTTCTTTAAATAACGATAATTGTGAAATACATGTCTTTTCCCCAAAAATCATAAAACATATGGTGACTCATCAGAAAAAATTACATGACGCCATTGATCAATAGTCCAATGAAGATTATCTTTCGCCCATTTTACTATCTTACCCCTGTTCGTTTGACTGATAAATGGCTTCTTGCACGGAAAATATGACTTGAACTCTCCAAACTCATTAATACATTGACAAATGGTTTTAATTGACACAAGAGTAGTTAAGTTAAATAATGCTCTGATTTCTGATCCAGTTATAAACTGATCTTTTCAGATAATACGTCGATCGTCTCGTACATAAGTCTTTTGCTTTAGACCAGAGTCTTTATTTCTTTCTGTACTATTTGTAGTTGCAAAATTTTTCCAAATGGCATAAAGAGAAGAAATTGGCACATGCTGAGTCTTTGCAAGTTCAGTGAACAACATTCCACCTGATTTTAGGCCACATAAAAATGCTTTTCTCTCAGCAGAAATTACAATATGCCTTCTTTTCTCCTTTACAACAAAAACTTCAGGTGCCATTGGTGCAACTTCGGCAGCAATCCAAATTTGACCCGCCTCCATCTCTAAAAATATTTATTTTATTAGTTAGTTGGGGGAACATGAAACCTTAATATATGTCCATTTATATACATTTTATGTATATAAACGTTTCTTAAAATTTTGGCTTTTATTAAAACAAACGAAAATTTAAAATATGAAATATTCTTGTGAAGACTGATGATTCATACAAACTTACAAAAAAAGAAAAAAAATTCACTGTTTTTTGTCCCGTACTGTATATATACATATCTACTAAAGCATATATTAATATATATTTGAATTAGTTTCCTCAATTGAATTTAATGTTTTAAAAAATGTTACACTTAATTCACAGTGTGGAGGTGTAAAGCTGTCAGATGAAAAAAATTATGCTACAGTTTACTAGACTGTAGACTAGTCCCTGTAAAGTGCATATGACCTTAAAACATTATATGTATATGTTATGTGCATGCATGCTTGTAACATGTTTGTTTATTCGATAAGATAACTTGTTGGTAACTTGAATGCACTCACAAGGACAGGAATTGTTGATAAAAATGATATTCATTTTTATCTGTCTACATGTTTAAAATTTTTATATCAGCTGCAAGTTTACAACATGTACCGCCAACAAAGGGGTGACAATGAACATTTCGGTTAAAATAAATATCAAAACCAAATTTACTAAAAGGTGAAGAAACACAAAATAGAGCTATATATTGTGTTATTTTGATTCAGTTGCTTTAAATATAATATATAAAAGCTAATTTTTAGCTGCACAAACAATTTGCCCTTTTCAGCTTTTCTCTATGACATATAAACAACAATCAGTTCTCTATGACATATAAACAGCAATCAGTTCTCTATTACATATAAACAGCAATCAGTTCAATTAAGTGACTTATTAAGCTATCTTAAGAACCTTGTAACAAAACACCAGTTGCTACACATCATTGTTGTTATAAAATCAAAATTTAGGGTGAAGTTTTTCTGATAAAAAATAAAGAACCTGGTGGTAAAGACACTGTAATGTAACGAATCCATTTTAGATAATCTTAAGAACAATCTACGCACAAATTTACTTACAAAACAGATCTCTCCATAATTTAAAAAATAAAAACATATTGTGTTCAATGTCACCACAAATCTTCTAATCATTCTCACCTCATTTTAAGAATGCCTTTATGATCATATAAAATATGAAAATTAGGATAATTTGTTTTTTTTATTCTGATTCACTCCCAACAAGGCTGCAAGCAACCACTATTAATTTGGGAATTGCTAGAAAAAAGAATAGAGTTATAGAGAAAGGAAGCAATTGACAGAAGACTTAAAAAGTTGAAGGTTGTATGAGTCAGGAAAACATGAAGATGAGAAAGAATTCCAAAGGGTCGAAGTGCAGGAAAAAAGTTAGACAAATAAAAGATGAAACTAGAGATGAAAGCTTTATTGAGATGGTTGATGGAACAAGATATTAAAGTTATATTTACTGCACAGTGTTGATCAGGTTTTTTCCAGGAAGCTGTATAGTATAAAGTTCTGTTAAAAAAAGGTAGCGATTAGGCTATCAATTTTCTCTTATGATGCAAAAATATTTAAAAAATGTTCATGACAATAATTTACAAAGTTGCAACATGTTGCAAACTTGTATTACATGTTGTAAACTTGTGCAGATTTGTTTTTGAATTAACTTGTTGAATATATTAGTATAAAAGTTTGCAACATTTATATTGTCTTACCAACTTTAAATATCTCAGTGGACATGATAATTTTTATGGTGATTTCTTTAGGCAAAGTATTCTGAACATCTTTTTTCAATTTAATGCAATTAATTAATATTATTTATAGTTGAAAAAGTCCCTTCAACTACATATAATATTATTTAATTGCATAATTGATATGTAGTAGTAGACTAGTGGTTAAACATTTGGCTCACAATCAAGACGCCTTGATTCAAATCTATCTTGCACCCCCTGAAATTAATGTGCTCAATCTGTTTCTCCGCACAACCCTCTTGTTTAAAACTGTTAGTGTTTGAGTTAAGGATTGAGAGAAAATATTTTAAAAAAATAAGTAGCTTTCCACTACAATAGTGGACACTGGAGCAATGGTGAGATGAATATATAAGATTTAAAAAAATTACAGTACACATACAATAATAAAATTTTTGAATTTTTATCAGTTTTTAAAAAAGCACAAAAATCCTATAAACCCCCCTTCCCCCCCCCCCCCCCCCCCAAAAAAAAAAAAAAAAAAAATAACAAAAACAACAACAACATTTGGGTTGGTTTTTTTCCAAAAAAAACTCTGGGTTTTTTCCAACACCGACATGCAATGATAAAAAATAATATATGATATTAATGACTCTAAAATATAAAGGAGATCACTAGAATATAAAGGAGATTAAGAATAAAGAAATAAAGAAACTAACCTTTCTTTACGAAAAATTATAGACATTACACAAGCTATAGAGTCAGCACAGCCTAAGCACCATTAATAATCAAAATTTAATTAACCCAACAGCAATAAATAAAAATGAAATTAGGTTAGAAAAAACAACTAAATATAAATATTTTTGATATGGTTATAAACATAATTCTAAGGTGTAAATTCAAACATCAAGCTTTTATTATTATAACAAGAAGCACACCAAATAACAAAATTCTGATTTTATTTGAAGAAGAATCTTGTTTACAACAGTTACAAAGTGTTAAATAAAAAAATATTATTTATGATTAATCTAAGAATTTAAAGTGTATAGTTACAAATGGAGCATGACATTTGATGCTTGACACAGCTTGGCACCAAAGTCAGTGATGAGTAAAGTTGAGAGAACTTGTTTAGAAAATGCATCCTAAACAACTTTTTTGTTGGCATATAGAAGAGAAATGGCCACAAAAATTTGAAAGGTTATGCTTTCTAAAGTAAAACCAAATCTTTACTTATTCCACCATTTTTATGGAGGGTTTTGACACTTTAGTGACAGAACCCAAACTTTAAATAAGTTTATTTATTGACGTATAACCCATGTCAGCTTTGATAACTGCAAGGGTCCAGTATTGGGCATTGATGCTTTTCAGGATACAGTTGCTGTTTAAAATACTGAAATTAGGTTGCCAATAAAAATCAAACAACCATCTGCTTCACAGATATTAGTTTTGATGGTTTGGCTGGAGAGTTGCTAATGCTTTCAATGAATCTTAAACAACACTGACATGTCTTCATATTAAAGAGAATGGTAATAATAAAAAAAATGTTTAGGCTATTTTTTTTTGAATAAATTAAAAGAATAAATGCTTACCAAGAAAAACTAACTTTTTTTTTTCAGCTAAAGCTTGCCTTCTCTCTTTCGGATTATTTCTGGACTATTTTGTGGACCAATCCTGGATTAATGTTGGATCATCCATAAGGGATATTTTTAATTGTATGTGACCAAAATAGATTAATGCTATAATTATGAAAAGTGCTTAAGTACAAATTAAATTCTAAAATACAGTTAAATAATTAAAATATTGTCAACAATAGTAAACTTTTTTTTAGTGGTTTTTGATAACTTTAGTCAACAAAGTATATTTTTAATTCTTCCTCAACAAAGTATATTTTTAATTCTTCCTACCACCATTCTAGGTGTCTACCACCATTCCACCATTTCTCATAGAACTGAGCAAGCATTTTCCATAAATCAGAAATGATGGATGACAAACATAAATTTAGCAAGACCTGCTTGAGTTATCAGGCTTGAGTATAAAAAAGATAACCTTAAACAAAAGATAAACTTGTTAAAATTTGGATATCATCATAAGACCATGGTAATATTTATAGAAAAAGAATCTTTAAATGATAGATCAGAGTTCTTTTGCTTTAAAGTTGCTTTAAAGTTCTTTATGTTTTTTGCTGTTAAATGTCTTTTTTACATTGATATTGCCTATTGATATACAGCATGATTTTATGTGTGATTTTTAGTATGATGTCATGTGTCCTCTAGTAGGATATCATGTGAGGATAAATTTGCAGCTTAATTTGCATGTTTTGATACATATGTTCAATTGATTGAGATAGTAAAGATGCATCCCTGACAAGTGATGCTAGCCATTTTTATCAGGCTCTCCGAAACATCATTGGTGAATATATTGTGGCCCTGAGGATAAAGTCTATTAGAGTATTAATAATATTTATTATTTTTGCCATTGGATTATGGGGCAGGAGTTTGTAAGTATTAGTATCATTTAATAGTTGCTCTATTTTATTCTCATACTGTACCTTATCTAATAATTAAGAGTAACTTACTGTTTCTTTTATGGCTGAAATATGTCTTATAAATATAATAAGTAAATACCACTCATAAACACTGATACTCAGTTAAGATGTTTTGAAAATGAAAATGTGGTAACTCCAATGTATGTTCTCATATAAATCTTGCCTGATAAGTAGAAACAATAGCTATCACATAAAACAGATTTGATACATATGTATCATGTTAAAATATATATAAGTTGTAATATACTAAATTTGTATATATTGTTTTTAGTGAAGAATCAGTTTCTAAAAATCCTCGACTAAAAAGATGTTTAAAAATAGGTATTATATAATATTTTAAATTGATGTACTTTTATATTTAAAAATTGATGTAATTTTATTTCAAACTGGCACAAAAGTAACATTTATATTAAATTATTTTTTAAATTTAAAATTGTTAAAGAAAAATAGATATTAAAATAAAATATTTTAAGACACATTTTTTTTTTTAAATATTTTTTTTTAAATGTTGTTTTGGATTAAAAAACTTTAAGAACTTTTTTTACTGTACTATTTTCAAATTTCTTTTCTGCCTTAAACACATAAATAGTAGTTTAAAATATATGTAAAATACTTTTTTTTGTGTTTTCTTAATCAATTAATTAAATGTTTAAATTAGGCTCAGTTAAAAACTCAGAAATTACACAGCACTCAGCTGCTATTTTTTCTTTTTGTCGTTGTTGTTTGAATTAGTCTTAGATATTTATAATAATAAAACTTAGGGTTTATAATAAAATTTGTGGTTAGAGTTTTATTATTTATAATAATAAAACTCTAACCACTTAGGGTGGTTAGAGTTTTATGTACTACTTAGGTTTGTAAATTGCATCTTCTAAAGTTTACAATATTAGTTATGGTTTGGGGCTGTTCAATTGTTTTAAGAAAATGAAATGTAAGATAAATAAACAAGGCAGAGAATGAAATCATTAGAAAGAAATTGATGATCACAATGAAAAATCTAGCAGGACTACATGGAGAGAACAATAACTAACGCTCATCCTAAGCAAATGATAAAACGATGGTTTATGAGTAAACAAGTTTATGAGTAAATCTTATAAGTAAGCTATATGTTAATATGTAAGCTTACTTATATGTAAGCTTACTTAATATGTAAGTTTACATATGGCTATCATGACTTGAAATATTATGCAATATAAAACAAAATAAGTAAATAAAAAAATAAATAAATAAATAATGGTTCGGGCAATATAAAAATAAAAACTAAGTATACGTGTTCTACAAGGTTCGAACTCTGAATCTGCAGATTATGATGCAGCGCTGCACTCTACATCATCCTAGTCAATATTGCAATATAGTAGGACTACACTGCAAAAGTCAAAAAACTGATCTCAGTTTTTAATACAGCTCCAACATTCTTAGAGATCTTGTGACGGGGGTTAGGGACGAGCTGTATATGGTGTAGCTGTATATATGTGTTTAAATACATGCACTCACAACATAAAAATATACACATATCCCTACATATATACATACATACATACCTATTTATGTATATGCACACATACATTCATGCATACATACATACATACATACATACATACATACATACATACATACATACATATATAACAATCCAGAAATTCACAACTCGTAACGGAATGAGCTAGGATAAAAATAGTACATGGTAAAGGTATACAAATATAGTGTGAAATTTAGTAAGACATATAGTTTAGAGATATAAATCACACCTGATAGGTGGAGATAACTCCTAACTGAAACTAGTTTTAGATAATAACAAATTGATAGATTGATAACTCAAGATAGCCAGCTAATACACAATATAATTAGTGGATACATCAGAAATAAATAATAATTCAATATGTAGAATGCTATATGAGAATGGACATGTAATCAGTCAAAGGGTGTCTAGCGGACTGAAAAAATAGAGTTAAAAAACAAAGATTGTTTACATAATAACCATTAGAACGCTATGAAGACTGTATAGTGCAAAGCTAAAACAAACTGCCTTATCGATGTCAGATAAAATTCCTTAGGATCAAAAAATCTAACAATATGGTAGTCGAATACAAAAAATACAACTGTGATATTTTATTTTTTTATTCTAGATAAAATATAGGTAAATCATTTTGTTTCATTGTCGTGGACAAGGATCCATATTTAAATATCTCATAGAATTGAGATAGATGTCAAAATAATACCATCTATGTGAATAGTTCTCAATGTTTCTAACTTGCCACAGCTGTTGGTACATTCTTTTGTTATATTTTGCGCAGTTTTTTTCTGTAGCCGAGAGTTAGGAGTTTGAATATTAAGTATGGAGAGCATCCATTACCAATGAAAAAAATTGACAATTTAAATGTTCCAGTGTTGGTTGTAGTTATGTTCCAGAATATTATCTGTATAGATCAAGGCTCAATTTAATTTTGTATAAAGTCCCGGACAAAATGTCCGATCAAAACTTGTGTGGGTCGAACAATGTCCGATCAAATTTTTAAAATATAATTTTTACGGTTTTATGGAACCAAGTTATGCAATCAAAATCTTTGTAATGTTATTCAGTTTATTTTACAATAGTCTAGTAAAGTTGAAGTATCTTTCCTTATTATTTAGAATTATTCATAGTATTGATTTTTATTTTTTTAAATAAAATAGTTTTAATTTAATATTCTATTTTTTTTTTTTTTTATTTATTTTTTAAATAAGAGTTAAAATTTCACGCTGACATTGCTTTTTTTTTTCTTTACAATTTGATAACGGCTGTTTTGATGTTTTAACAATTTATATGCAACTTAAAAAATCTTTACGTTACGAATAACTTTTAATCATTAACCTTTTTTAAAGTTTTTTTTTTATGCAACAGCTTTAAATAAAATAAAATCAAAAATTATTAAAACGATTGTTGAAAAATAATGCTCCATATGTAAATTAAATGATACGTTTAAATTTTTTTTTATTAGGTATCTTTATTTTATGATAAATTTAAACATTTAAAACTATTTTTTTATGTCGTTATAAAAATCTTTTAAAAAACTATTTTTTTAAGTTACTTTAAATTACGATAAATAAGTTAACTTTAAATAAGTTAAATTAAATCTTCCCATGATTTAATTGGTTTATTTTTTTTTCTATTTTTACAAAGAATTGTTTATAAACTGTTTTTTTTAAACTTACTAATTAAATTTAAAAAAACTGATCAAAAAAATCATGAAATAATTAAAAATTATAATATTAAAAAAAAGCGTTATTTTTTTTAAACAATTTTTTTTTTTGCAACTTTTTGATAAAAATGTCTGTACAAACTAAAAGTATTAAAAAGATATTTTTTTCAATAAAAAAATTTGTTCATATATTAAACAATTGATAGAAGTAATTTATTAAAAGCGTTTTGCGTAACTTTTATTAAATGTTTTAAAAGATCAGTTTTTAAGTAATTTTTTTCAAATGTAATTAAAAATGTAACAAAAAGTTATTTCTACTATGAATTTTTTAAGTTTTATTTTAAAGCTAATTTATTTTCTTTTTCATAAGGAATTGTTTTGCTTATTCTTTAGTTTTTAAATTTTTTTTTTCTAATTTAAGTTTACATTAACAATTCTTTTTTCAGCGCATTTCTAAAATTTTTAAATCATCAAAATATTTAACCAGTTGTGGTGAATTGGTGAACAAAAAAATCATTTGTGTGGTCAGCATTCGATCGCATGCCATTTATATCCAAACATTATTTTGTAGAATTTAATTCCTGTTGGTCAAAATGTCCGATTACTTTTTAAAATGAGCGAACAATCTGAGGTTTTAGCTGAACAATGTCCAATATCTGACCATTAAATTGAGCCCTGTGGATACTGGCCAGGTATTCATAGGGTGGAAGCATTTTCAATTCATTTCTTTATAAACGATGTATTGTTCTCTATCAAGAAGGTTAGATGATGCGTTCAGGTCCTCCGTGGCTTTGTGAAGCATATCTATTGCATGTTTATCCTAAAATAGCAGTTAAGTGTGTAAATCAAATGTCTAGTTTTTTAATGTAATTATGTCTAGGCCTTCTTGTTGAAGGGGAAATTTTTTTGTTGAAGGGGTATTTGTAAAAGCCTTCTAGTATATTCTGGTGTATCTATCAGTGTCAAATGAGTTATAATATAACAATTTGTACTTATTGAATTATCATTTTATAAAATAAAAAACATAAACAACATAGGTGGTATATTTTCTGTGTAAAATGATTATATAAAATAAAAATACAAAATTGTAACATGTGGATCGGGGAAGAAGTATATCCTACCTGCTAAATATGGACTGGAGAAAACAGTGGATGTTCTGAGATGAAAGTTATTAATGTGTGTGATGGGGGGGGGGGTGTTGGTGGAAGCAATAAGCAGAGTTCTGGGTAATTGTGGATAAGGTACCAGTTGTGTAATATCACGTTATTGATTCGTATACCTTGTTCATTGTAAGGTGTGACTATGGGAAAGATGTGGTTGTCATCAAGTTCTTTGTTTTTGTGGATAAGATCTTTCTGTGTGTAGTAGTAGGGCTTAAGTAATGTTCCTGTTGATAATATCAAGATGGTACCCCTTAAGAACTAATTGGCGCGCTAATGTGCGGAGTTCCTTAAATAGGTGGTAAGAGTCAGATATAAGCCTATTGTATCTCATTGCTTGGCTGTGGATGAGACCTGATGTGATATGATGTGAGTGGTATGAACTGAAATGTAGGAGGCTAAATGTCAGTGGGTTTATGGTGAAGTGTGCTCTGTTATTTACCTAGATGGTTATTGTAGAGAATTAGGTCCATAAAGTCAATTGAAGTGTCTGAGTGGTTAAACGTGAATTTAATGGTGGGGTGCAGGTTGTTCATAAATGTTGTAACATGTTTGAGATATAGAGCCTGTGAATATGAAAAAAATGTCATTGATAAATGTCGTTTAGAAGGTGATGCTGTGTTTGAATTGTCCAGTGATGGCTTTGTCTAATGTGCCCATGAAATGTTAGCCTATGGTGGTGCCATGCGTGTACCCATCGATGTCCCTGTCATTTGTAAATAGTTGCAGTCCTCAAACCAGAACTTTGTGTTTGTCAGAATGGTGTCAATCATAATCTGTATATATTTATCTGTATATACTTTTCATAGTTTATTGTGTAAATTCTTAAAAATTTTCATATAAATTTTATTGAATAAAAACTTAAAATTCATTAAAGTTTTTAATTTTATTGTTTGCTAAAGGTAATCTTTGAACATTTCTTTCACAGATTTTAATTTATTGACAACAAAAGCATCACTAAGAATTCCGATTTTTTTCACAAATTCATTCTAAGCTTTTAAATGCTAAGCTCAAGATACCTCTGCAATATACAAGATGCTAAATGATCATATAAATATCAGTAAATAAGTTTTTTTAGATTTCAGATTCTAGTTTACTTTTCTGCCTACCGACATATTATGGTTACTATGCCAACATAATACATTTTTAACTTGTTGTTGAAGTTTGAAAAAAAGTCAAGGTTTCAACTCATCGTTATTGCTGAAGTGTCAAAGTTGGTTTCTATGTTTATCAATCAGTGATTGACAAAGAAATATAAAGCAAAAACTATGTGCATGTTAATATTTGAATCAACTATATTCAACATTAAGTTTTTGTCTTTATGAGAGAATATGCTTCTGTAAATACATTGTAGAATAGACATATTGTATTCTACAGCTTGTGGTATCTTTTTTAAACTGGCCTTTTCAGTTCCTGTAGGATTTTATTAGGTCATTTAGATTAGCAAGGAAAATGTTTTACTGCAACCGGTCATCAAATTATTTAAAAGTTCGCTAGGAGCAACAAACTTGACTTTTAATATTTCAGTTTATTGGACTTGAGCATATTTACATTTTTATTTTGAAATATATATAGTATATTTATATTTTTATTTCGAAGAATAAAATAAAATTTGTATTTTAACTTATATTTAAAATAATTGTATTTCTTAACCTCAAATTATTTGTATATCTTTACCAAAAATAAAAAAAATTTTAATTTTATTTTTCAACTTAAAATGAAAGTATTTCTTAACCTAAGATATTTCTTAACCTGAAAAAAAAATTTTTCTTTTCTTAACTAAAAAAAGGTATTTGTGTTTGTATTTCTTTGTTTGTGACTTATTTAGTGGTAACAAATGAGTAATAAGAGGTGAGTAATATGCTACAGTAACTATAGTTACTACAGTATGACTGGACAAACTTTTACAAAAAAAATCAGACTTTTTTCATGTATTTATTTTTTAGTTCGTGAACATTCTAAAAAATTTTGTAGCAAAGAGGAAAAAAGCAAAAAGTGCAAGATAGTCTCAACAAATAACTTTCCAACTGGTGCTGGACTAGCTTCATCAGCATCTGGTTATGCCTGTTTAGGTTGGTTCAAAATTATGTAAAAAAAAGCATTTTCAGCATTTTTCTATTCAATTTCATTTAATGGTTGTGTAAGACCAGCCTAAACATTTTATTCATTTGCTATTTTAATTTTGTTTGAGGAAAAATTTTTTAGCTATTGCAATGTGACGTTTAAGGGAAAATTTGAAGTATTTAAAATATTTTTTCTTTTAAAATATTGTGTTTTGTTAAAACAAGTTATGAAGCCTTTTTTCTGAGATACTAACAAAAATCTTCGAAACCTGAAAATTTTCACCCAAACAAATGATGCTATGTTTAGTTTTTAAGTTTTTTTTTTTAAGCCAAATGTTTGGGGACTGTGTATGATGCTTACATTGACCACTCAATCATTGCAAGGTACCACATAACTTTAAATTGTGATGATAGATATAACATTATTACTTTTCCTTTATAAATAAATATAAATTTTATTTTCTCTTCAGACTTGGTTCAGGAAGTGCTTGCAGAAGTATGTATGGAGGCTTCGTTAAATGGCAAAAGGGTGAGCTATCTGATGGTACTGATAGTATTGCTGTTCAGGTAATAAAAGTTTAAAATGTTAAAGAAAAAAATTATTCAAAAAAAATAAATGGTTTGAAATTAAATTCAAATATTTTATGATGATTAGTGTTCCTTTCATAAAAAAAAAAAAAGAAAAATAAGTTTTTTATATTCAAGAAAATATTTTTTAACAATCCTGCAGTAGCTGTAATGTTGGGAGTTATGAGGAAAAGTAGAAAAGAGCATAAAAAGTAAGAAAATGTTTGACACTTAAAATGGCTGTCATATTACTAACTTTAAACTATATAACTTTAATACAAACTATACAAACTATACAAGTTAGAGAAAAACTATTAAAACTTTACAAGTTAGAGAAACATGAAGTTCAAAGATATAAAAAGTTTTGACAAAAAAACTATACATATAAAGCTTTTTTGAACATAAAGGAGTATTTAGGGTAAAAAGATTTTCCATTAAAAGGATCAGCACAAATAAATGCAGGATGAATAAGAGAGGTTGAAAAATTAGAACTAGAGGATGTTACTTTTGGATAATTGGTCAACTTAAGCTATGTTGGAAGTGACTTTGTTTAATTTATACTAGGGTTATAACTTTTTGGTGTCTTCTCTTTCCTATATGAAAAATAAATGAACTTTTGATTGAAAGTAATTTAAAAAATCATTGGCTTTTTTAAGAATGTTAAAAAGATTACCCATTACTAACTTCAGTATATGCTAAGTTTTATATATTAAAGAAATTTTTCTTCTCTAAAAGTAGGTTAATCTGGGTCTCTAAGAATTTTCAATTATAAAAATTTATAGAAAAAAATTGAGATTCTTGAAGTCCCTATAGAATTTTATATTAAAAAAAATTAAGATTCTTAAAGTTTCTATAGAATTTTATAAAGACAAAAATTGAGGTTCTTGAAGTCCCTTGATAATTTTGGTTATTTTGAGACCTTTAAAATTGATTTACTTTTATAAAAATTTACAATACTTAATAAATATATATTACAATACTTAATAAATATATATTACAATACTTAATAATTAAATAATAATTAAATAATGATTGATATACTGTATACCAATTTTATAAATTGATATAAAGTATTGTTTGATTTAACTGGACAAACAGGTTTTTCATAATATTTTCTCATTTGGTTAACCTTCTTTTAATTAAATTTTAAATTTTCAAATAATACCAAATTTATGATAAGCATGAGTATCAAATGTGAGAGGAATTAGACAGAATTTTATTTTAAAAAATGGACTGACTTGCCAATCCTGTCGTCTACTTTAAATGTTTTCTGCAATTTTTATTCTTGCCAAAAAAGGAGAGAAAGAAGAAAAAAAAGATTTCTTAACAGTAAAACTGTCAAAAAGATTGGTTTTATAAAATCGATTGTTGCATAATTTAAAACTTTAAAATCTTGTTCTTTAAAACTCTTGTTCTGATCTACCTTTGATGATCTTACAGCAGTACTAAGTTAGCAAGAATTTGATTACATCAGTACTAAATTATCTTAGCAAGAATTTGATTACAGCAGTACTAAGTTATCTTAGCAAGAATTTGATTACATCAGTACTAAGTTATCTTAGCAAGAATTTGATTACAGCAGTACTAAGTTATCTTAGCAAGAATTTGATTACAGCAGTACTAAGTTATCTTAGCAAGAATTTGATTACAGCAGTACTAAGTTATCTTAGCAAGAATTTGATTACAGCAGTACTAAGTTATCTTAGCAAGAATTTGATTACAGCAGTACTAAGTTATCTTAGCAAGAATTTGATTACAGCAGTACTAAGTTATCTTAGCAAGAATTTGATTACAGCAGTACTAAGTTATCTTAGCAAGAATTTGATTACATCAGTACTAAGTTATCTTAGCAAGAATTTGATTACATCAGTACTAAGTTATCTTAGCAAGAATTTGATTACAGCAGTACTAAGTTATCTTAGCAAGAATTACAGCAATACTTGGAAATGGTTCTATTGTTGAAAAACCAAGGTTGCTAGCAACCGCTATTTAGGTTAGCAGCTACCAGAAAACAAAAAATTAAAAAAAAAAAGTTGGAAGTTACCAGAAAACAAATAACATTGTTAAGGATAAAACAACTGCTGACAGGAAATGATAGTCTGGTTCCAAAGTAATGATGCGCAAGATAAAAAACTAAGTAAATAAATATTTTTTTCTCATCTTTGATTGACCTGCATTCTCACTTTCGATGATTTTTTTCTTTGCATAAAAAGCAATAAAAATTACTATTTTTATTTTATTTGACTTTTTTTTTTTTTAATCGAAAATAAATAGATTTTATTTAAGAAAAAAAATAATAATAAAAGTTAATTAAAGAGAAATCAGTTTTTCAATAGAAAACAAAGAAAAATTCATTAAAAATAAAGTCAAATTGCATTTGTGACTGAATATAGTCTAATTGCATTCACGTATGAAACACTCATCATAAAGTGAAAGTCTAAGCATGTTTATTAAACAATTCATCATAAAGTGAAAGTCTAAGCATGTTTATTAAACAATTCATCATAAAGTGAAAGTCTAAGCATGTTTACTAAACAATTCATCATAAAGTGAAAGTCTAAGCATGTTTATTAAACAATTCATCATAAAGTGAAAGTCTAAGCATGTTTATTAAACAATTCATCATAAAGTGAAAGTCTAAGCATGTTTATTAAACAATTCATCATAAAGTGAAAGTCTAAGCATGTTTATTAAACAATTCATCATAAAGTGAAAGTCTAAGCATGTTTATTAAACAATTCATCATAAAGTGAAAGTCTAAGCATGTTTATTAAACAATTCATCATAAAGTGAAAGTCTAAGCATGTTTATTAAACAATTCATCATAAAGTGAAAGTCTAAGCATGTTTATTAAACAATTCATCATAAAGTGAAAGTCTAAGCATGTTTATTAAACAATTCATCATAAAGTGAAAGTCTAAGCATGTTTATTAAACAATTCATCATAAAGTGAAAGTCTAAGCATGTTTATTAAACAATTCATCATAAAGTGAAAGTCTAAGCATGTTTATTAAACAATTCATCATAAAGTGAAAGTCTAAGCATGTTTATTAAACAATTCATCATAAAGTGAAAGTCTAAGCATGTTTATTAAACAATTCATCATAAAGTGAAAGTCTAAGCATGTTTATTAAACAATTCATCATAAAGTGAAAGTCTAAGCATGTTTATTAAACAATTCATCATAAAGTGAAAGTCTAAGCATGTTTATTAAACAATTCATCATAAAGTGAAAGTCTAAGCATGTTTATTAAACAATTCATCATAAAGTGAAAGTCTAAGCATGTTTATTAAACAATTCATCATAAAGTGAAAGTCTAAGCATGTTTATTAAACAATTCATCATAAAGTGAAAGTCTAAGCATGTTTATTAAACAATTCATCATAAAGTGAAAGTCTAAGCATGTTTATTAAACAATTCATCATAAAGTGAAAGTCTAAGCATGTTTATTAAACAATTCATCATAAAGTGAAAGTCTAAGCATGTTTATTAAACAATTCATCATAAAGTGAAAGTCTAAGCATGTTTATTAAACAATTCATCATAAAGTGAAAGTCTAAGCATGTTTATTAAACAATTCATCATAAAGTGAAAGTCTAAGCATGTTTATTAAACAATTCATCATAAAGTGAAAGTCTAAGCATGTTTATTAAACAATTCATCATAAAGTGAAAGTCTAAGCATGTTTATTAAACAATTCATCATAAAGTGAAAGTCTAAGCATGTTTATTAAACAATTCATCATAAAGTGAAAGTCTAAGCATGTTTATTAAACAATTCATCATAAAGTGAAAGTCTAAGCATGTTTATTAAACAATTCATCATAAAGTGAAAGTCTAAGCATGTTTATTAAACAATTCATCATAAAGTGAAAGTCTAAGCATGTTTATTAAACAATTCATCATAAAGTGAAAGTCTAAGCATGTTTATTAAACAATTCATCATAAAGTGAAAGTCTAAGCATGTTTATTAAACAATTCATCATAAAGTGAAAGTCTAAGCATGTTTATTAAACAATTCATCATAAAGTGAAAGTCTAAGCATGTTTATTAAACAATTCATCATAAAGTGAAAGTCTAAGCATGTTTATTAAACAATTCATCATAAAGTGAAAGTCTAAGCATGTTTATTAAACAATTCATCATAAAGTGAAAGTCTAAGCATGTTTATTAAACAATTCATCATAAAGTGAAAGTCTAAGCATGTTTATTAAACAATTCATCATAAAGTGAAAGTCTAAGCATGTTTATTAAACAATTCATCATAAAGTGAAAGTCTAAGCATGTTTACTAAACAATTCATCATAAAGTGAAAGTCTAAGCATGTTTATTAAACAATTCATCATAAAGTGAAAGTCTAAGCATGTTTATTAAACAATTCATCATAAAGTGAAAGTCTAAGCATGTTTATTAAACAATTCATCATAAAGTGAAAGTCTAAGCATGTTTATTAAACAATTCATCATAAAGTGAAAGTCTAAGCATGTTTATTAAACAATTCATCATAAAGTGAAAGTCTAAGCATGTTTATTAAACAATTCATCATAAAGTGAAAGTCTAAGCATGTTTATTAAACAATTCATCATAAAGTGAAAGTCTAAGCATGTTTATTAAACAATTCATCATAAAGTGAAAGTCTAAGCATGTTTATTAAACAATTCATCATAAAGTGAAAGTCTAAGCATGTTTATTAAACAATTCATCATAAAGTGAAAGTCTAAGCATGTTTATTAAACAATTCATCATAAAGTGAAAGTCTAAGCATGTTTATTTCAGCGTATTTATTATCATCAATCAGTTCGTTCAGTAAAAAACCTTTTTATTAAGTTTTAATAGCTTTGAACTAATTTTTCAATGTAAAATAAAATAAAAACCATTAAGCAAAGTCAAATCAAACTGAGGGTTTTATTATATTATATTGTTAGAAATGTATTTATAGCAAAAAAAATGTTGATATTGCATTACTTTTTGCTTGCTTTTAGTTATAACTATTTCAGTGTAGGTACTTACATTGGTACATCTGTACTGTTTGCTTGTGTTATCATGTAGTACTATGTTTTAAAAGCTTGTTTAAAATTTATAGTTTAAAACTTACAGTTGGTGTTGTTATCGACATCAAAAAAAATTGACTCAAAATTGACTAGTTGAAAGTCGAAATTAGTTGACTTTGAAAAATCAAATAGTCGATTTAATTGACTATGGACTTCTTACTAATTGACTAGTTGATTTAGTTGGGTAAAAATCTTAAAATTCTTATATCTTTTTATTCAATTTAACTTTTCAATCTTTATTTTTTGTTTGTTCATTTAATAATAATAATAATATGTACTATTATATCTATTACCTAGTTTTTTGTTTCATCTATTTAAAGTTTCATCTATTTCATAGCATGTTAGTATTATTTATACCTAATTAAACTTTCGATTATGTATTTCATTAATTATTTTTTTCTTTGTTTGTTTACTCAATGCTTATGATTTTCATAAATACTTTAATACAGGGCCGCTCCAAGCTGGCTCGGGATCCTGAAGCAAATCTAAATTGTGAAGCTCCAAAATCTAAATGCCATTTATAGAAACACATTGTAAATATGACTGTAATGACTTTTTTTTATAGCAAGTATTTAAGATGGTCTCTAAATCATTGGGGTCTAGGAATAGATTGTACCAGGGCTGTGGAGTCAGAGTCGTAGAGTTGCGACATTTGTAGTGGAGTTAGAGTCGTTGCATGTACAAAATATTTAACCTTTATGTGCATGTACAAAATATTTTACCTTAAAAAATTTTTTCATATATTTGGCAAAAATAAAAAAAAGTTTAATTATTGCATAATATTTTAATTATTGCATAATATTTTTTTTAAAGACTTCAAAGAGTTTTTCAAATTCTTTATAAAAAAAAATTCTTCGAAATTGGCAATGCAATACAAATTAACAAATTACAAATTACTAGATCAATAAGTTGATCAATAAATTGATTTCAATTCATTTGATGAGCATAAGTTGTTCATACAAGACAAGTGTAAATAAAATAATAAAAGTGTGCCATGATTTAAATTATTTAGTGAGTCAATAGTGGTTATTGATACAATTAACAAAAAAGGTTTGTGGTTAATTTAAAGTTGAACAATATTCAAGATAAAATTTAAAATAGATTGTTGTTATAAAAAATGTTTCACTATTATATTATAAGTCTGGTGTTTCAGTTGATTTTTCAGCATTTTTCTCTTCTCCTGCTTTTGTCTCTTTAAATGGCGAAATAGCTTGCAATTTTGGCATTTCTTTAGAAAGAAGTAATATTAGAAATTCAGTAATACAAGAGGCAAAACAGTTGAAGCCTATGCTCACTGATATTTTAGGTGGACAGTTTTTTTTTTTTTGACGATAGACAGATGTACCCATCACAAAGTTAATTGTTTTGCAATTAACGTCCAGTTCCTTAATGATAAAAGAAAAGTTGTTTATTATCACCATGTTTATAAATGACTATATTCGTTTAGCTTTGGAGTCTGAGCTGGAGTTTGAGTCGAAGTCGTACTCTGAAAATTTTAACAATCAGAGTTGGAGTTGGTTCTTTTTTTTACAACACCACACCCGTGGATTGTACAGTTGTTAAAGCAGTCTTTCTCCCATATTGTTTTGCTCCATTATTATTTAAATGATATGGTTTAAAAAATAGAGAGCAATTATAAATTACTTTATTATTTTAATTTATATATTTTTTTAAAATTATTTCCATACTTCGACTAAAACATTTAGTCAACTTAGTCATCTTAGTTGATTTGAAAAATGATTTTAGTTTAAAAGAAATTCGACAGTCAAATTATTTAATACTCGTAACAACACTACTAAAAGCTAATTAATCAAACTATGTCATGGCTTTTGATTTGATGTTATAAATTAATGACTCATTTCAAATCTGAAAATATTGGTTCAGGTAAAGCAAAAAAGCACTTTGAGATACCATTAAGTACATTTTGCAGTAGATTGTGGGATAAACATATGCTGAATAATAGAGTTTAACAAAGACAGATGAAGCTGAAAATTTTTTATTGACAACAATTAACATCTTGTCATTTTGTGCATTTTCTTAACAGTTTTTATTTTGTTATATTGTTGCATCTGGTGCTAATATTATAATAATATTTTTTTTTATATTTGTTATCTCAATAAGAAAAATTAAGTTTTGTCAGTTTTACCTCGTAAACATTTTGTAATTTTCAAAAAAATTTTATGATTGATCAATTTACTATTTTATATGCTTTTGAAAAGTTATTTGTCTTTTTTTTTTATATTTGTCCATATAATACCTAAAACCCCATTTTATATACACAAAAGTAAGCATTATAAATACATTGACCGATTTCATCTTGTTTGTGTGTACAACTTGTTTAACTCTCTTATGATCCATTTGCTGTGTTAGTTTGATTTTTTTTTTTCAAGTTTTTTTATTTTGTCTTCTATAATAAATTGTTAAATTGTTCAATGTTATAATGTTATTGTTTAATAGAATATTATTTTTTGTATATGTGTGAATATAAAACTTTTTTAATTTTATTAATTTTTAAAAGGTTGCAAGCGAAAATCATTGGCATGGTTTGAGAGTTTTAATTTTAGTGGTGGGTTTTAATTTTATTTTAGTTCATTTATATTTTATTAGATGCTATATAAATTACAATTATTATTTGCATATGGTTAACATTAAAGCGAGCGAGCGAGCGCTCTACCACTATACCACTATCACATGACTACTACTACTTATTGGTCACATATCTATTATTATTTAGGTGAGTAGCCAAGAGAAGTCTATTAGTAGTACTGAAGGGATGAGGAGGAGCGTAAAATCAAGTCCATTTCTTCAGGTAACTGCTTATAAATTTTTTTTCTCACTTTTTATAAAAGGTTACTTCATTAACATATAATTCTAAATAATTCAACTTGTTAAAGGGAGGTAATATTATAAATACATTTCAAGAATAAAACAACAGGAAAATGTCTTTTTGAACTACTATAATGAAGAATTTCATAATAATACCAATTTTAATAAATTCTGACTTGTTAACTGTTATTATAATAAAGTTCTATTGTGCATAAGATAGTGGTGGGGCTGTTGTTCCTGATATATCAAAGGGTTTTGATAAAGTCTTGTATTCTGGTCTTCTCGATAAAGTCTCTTTATATCTGGATATATTTGTTAGATTATTAAATTATTTCTTTTTTAAGTGCAGTAATATAATAAGTCGTCCTTGAAGGCCAAGGTTCTTTTTCATTTCCAGTAACTTCTGGAGTACCATAAGGTTTCCTCTTTTGTAATTTATTGTTTCTTATCTTTATTAATGACCTTCCAGACAATCATACTTCTTAAGAGATTTTTTTAACTTAAACCGCTATCCCATGTTGCAAAGTTGCATCATGGTTGAATTATTTCTAGTTCCATCAACCAAAACTCATTTTAGCTCGTTACTCAGCAAAGTTCCATCCTTTTATAGTATCTGTTCCTTTTATTTATTTAGTTTTTTTATACTTTTATTTATCTAGTTTTTTTCCTTTTTCATTGATGCTTTAGAACTCTCTTCCATCTTTTTGTTTTCCCAACAATTTAAAGTTTTTAAGTCTTAACCAATTCTTTCTCCTAACAATATTCTTTGTTCTCTGGTAACTTCTAACTTAAATATCATTGCTTGCACATTTGGTGGTGATTTGGTATTTAATAATTAAAAATGGACCTTAATATTTAAACTCAAAATAAAATTGGATGAATATTATATTTCATTAATAGTATATTACTTTTTTTTAACATGGTATATTATATATTACTTTTAGTAAGTAATATATAATATATGGTATAGTATATTACTTTTTTTTAATATGTTTTAGTAACATGGAGTATTGTTTATTAATAACATGGAGTTTTGTTTATTAGTAACATGGAGTTTTGTTTATTAGTAACATGGAGATAATAAAAAAGTGTTTGTAAAGTTTCAATGATTCCACATATTTTTTTATTTATTAATGTTTTTTTTTTAGTATAGGGTTGAACAATGTGTTGATGAGCGGTTGAAACTCATGGAAGAAGCAATCCAGAGTCAGAATTTTGAATTATTTGCTGAAATTACTATGAAAGTGTGTTTACTAATTTTTTTATTTTTATTTTACATTTATTTTTAAATTTTATCAAACAAATTTAAATAATTTACCAAGTTAGTTAAATACCAAATAAATTGAATAATACCAAATTAATAAATTTTACAGATTTATAATAGTTATTTTTGGAACCAGTTTTTTGAAATTGTTTGAAACTGTAGGAAAGCAATCAATTGCATGCTGTTTGCCAAGATACTTACCCTCCAATCATATATATGAACTCTATATCTCATGAAATTGTTCAGTTAATAACAGCTTTCAATGATCAAAAGATTAAGGTTATTATTTTATTGTTATTTTTTTTCTGTTTTATTTATAATATTGTCAGCTCTTTTTATTTATAATAGGCATTGTCAGCTCTTGGTTTATTAGTTTTTTACCTTTTGATCATAGCTGAGTTTTTTCCAGGAATTCCCAGAATTCTGGAAATTCACGAAAAACCACTTTAATTTGTCTGAAATTTCCGGATGTTTTTTGTTATAAATTTGAAAAAAAAGTTATATATTTTTATATAAAATATTATAAACGATAACTTTTGCATTTAAATAAATAAGTTTTCTATAGTTAAAATTTTTACGAGATCAATTTTTACAACAATTTTTTTTGTTTTTTTTTTTGTTTTTTAGTTTATTCAAATTAACTTTTTCGAATATTAGAAATTCGTTTTGTAAAAAGTTAAAAAATCTAAATTCCGTTTTAAAAGTTTACAAAAGTTTGTTTTCACTTAATACGATCAATTTTTAATAAAATAATTTTCCGGGATTTTCATTAAAAAAAAATTCCGGGATTTTCATAAAGTCAAATACTCATCTATGTTTGGTACACTCAAATATTTGTAAAAAAAACAACACTTTGTTTAACTTAGAGTATGTTAATATTTTTGTATTAAATATGTTTTATGCTAAAACAACACTAATAAAACAAAATTGTAAAAAAGGATAAAAACAAAAGAATAAAACATTTTTTTTGTTAAATATTTGTTTACACATTAGTTATATTTTTAAAATAAAGATAATGGTTTATCAATGTAATTCTCATAATCATCAAAATCTTTTTCAATACTTAAAGTCTCCATGCTACCACATGTTGAAGATTTCTCCACTAACATGCTAGCTCATGTTGAAAATTTCTCCACTAACATGTGAGCACATTTTTTTTGCATTATGTTCAAGGCGTCACAACCACCACCAACACCCAAAGTCACATAAACTTTAGGCGATCATATAAATAGGTAAAAAAACATTTCTTAATTATAAAATTCATTTGATTTTACATCTTTGAAGAAACACATCTTCACAAACATAATTCTTGCTTTATTGCCATACATCATAACAAATAACTTTGTTCACATGCTATACACATCATAACTTTACTTGTGCACATTTTACCATTGCTTTTAATTTTTTGTCAGATATAGACTGAGAAAAAGTTCTTGAGTTTTTGTTATTTTATAAATCAAAACAATATCTATTATTTACTTTCTTTTTCCAAGTATTTAATTTTTTTTTTTTTAATGTTATTCACCTCCCCAAGGTCCTTTACAGTTGAGTAGGCTACTTTATTGTGGTTACAACCCTCAAGCTGAGTACAATACTGCCAAGGATGTGGTGGAAATCTAACTCAGAACATCTCACTCATGAAGCAAGCACTTTACCACTACCACATATGACTTAATTTATACTAAAATATGATACCACAAATTTACTAAAATATGATACAATTTCACAAATTTACTAAAATATGGTACTATGTCACAAATTTACTAAAGTATGATACAATGTTACAAATTTACTAAAATATGATACAATGTCACAAATTTGTTAAAATAAAGTTAAGCAACATTTCAAAAAGATGTAATAAGGTGTTCTGATGTGTAATCCGGTGTTTTGAGGCCTAACAATTTGTCCTAACATTTTATTTTTTATATTTTCACATATTTAAAATGGATTAGTCTGATGTTAAGCATGCTTGGAAACCACAATAAGAAGAATTTTATTTATATTAGGCAGTGCTTTAAGCTTTTGGTATAACATAGCATGAGTATTCATTTGTTTCACATTTTCAAAGAAGATCGTTTTGCTGGTAGTTTAACTTTTTGTTGAGGTCAGTTATGGTTTTCACGTCAGTCGATTTATGGCATTCTTTTATTATGAAAATTTTAAAAAAATTTATGCTTATAAGTAAATTTATAAAATTATAATTTTAAGTTTAATTTTAGTAAATATTTTATTAAAATAATTTATTATATATATATTTTTTAATGGTATTTACAGGCAGCATATACTTTTGACGCTGGTCCAAATGCTGTTTTGTTTACATTGGAAGAGTATTATGATGAACTCTTAGCTACTCTTTTAAATTATTTTCCTCCTACCAATAGTAACTTGGAAAAGTATTTGTTTTTATTATTGTTTTTATTTTATATCATAGTTTTTTTGTATATCACGCCTAAGCTCAACTCTTTCTTAAGAAAGTGATCTATATTTTTATATTTGTTCACACTGGTGTAAAAAATAAAAAAACAGCTAATAATTTCAACTGCCAATCAAAATAAGCTAGTTATTTATATGTTTTTTTTATGTTTTATCAAGGACAAAAACATATTTTATTCATTATGTTTTTTGACCAATGTTTGAGTTATTTTCTAAACTGTTTTAAAAGCTTCTTTTTCCAAAACAATTTTTAAATTTAATTGATATAAATAAAAATCTTTTTTTAAAATTTAAAATTACGTATGATCAATTGGTTTTGATATGCCATGGTACCAGCGCTTCGATTTTATAAATGAAATCTGTATTTTATGAAATTATTTACTTTCTTACATTTTATAAAAACATAAAAGTTAGCTTCTATTTAGCACGCCAGTGTGTACTTTTCAATTATGCTTTTGATATCTGTAAATATAAATTTCATTTTTTTTTAGCTATATAAACCACACTTCTTCATACATCCACAGTTTAACAGGCAAGGTTAGTGCATATATTTTACATGTATATTAGAGTATATTTTACATAAATGTGTGTACAGCAGTTATGACCTTTTAAAAATAGGACAGGGTGTGTATCGAACTTAGTACTTCTTGCTTAAGAAGTGAGCGCCAATGTCCTTTCATTACTTAAAAAATAAATTGTCCATCTTTTATTCAGAAATAATGCGTAAATTGCTAATAAACAAAACAAAAAACAATTGTTTTCCATCGCAGAGCTTTAATGAAGATCACCGTGTAAAAAAGCAACTTTTTTTTTTTTTAAATAAATTAAGCGTTGCGTAATTAATGGACGATCCCTAAAAACCTTTTAACTTAAACACCGGCTTGATTTATTAATTGTTCAAACAATTTAAGCAATAATATTTATTATTTGGAATTTGAAAGAAATGTTAACATTTCTAGTTTTTATTTCTAATTTATTTTATTCAAAAAAATTTAGTTCATCCATAAAAATCAATTAACATTTAATTAACTAGTTTGAATTTTTTCTGAATTTAAAAGTCAGAAAAACAAATTATGATCTCGACTGTTTATTTCGCAAATCAAAAATATTTGGTATTTTTTATCATTCTGTATTTTGCTAATTCGATAATATTTTCGCGCTTTTTATATACTGTAAACAAAAGATTGTTATGGTCTCAAAACTATTTTTATTCAATAATCAAAAACATTTAGTTGCTAACTAGATAATTTCAACTTTCTGTTTTTGAAGGTTTTTAATTTTTTAATATTAAGTTGGCCTTGGGATTTTTGCCCATTAAATTTGATCGTCCAGAATTGATATTGAGAGATGAAAACTTCGATTTTTTTTCAAAAGTAGACTATCTTTGATCGGCCGTTATTTCCAGGGCTAAATTAAGAGTGAAATATTTTTTAAATTTTCTTAAGTTTTTTAAAAATTTTATATATTAAAGGAGAAAATGTTTGATGGCATACAACCACACAGTTCTGCATTGATAAAAATCATTTCTACAAAGGTAAATATTTTGATTTTCTTTTTTTTAACTTTTTTTTTTTAAATTTTTTTCTGATCTAAACGATTACTTTTAAGCTTGAATTATTTCCACTAAAACTTCTTTTTTGATATTGCTAATGTTATAAAAATTTTGATAATAAAATTAGATTTTATCAAACTCAAAGTTTGCGTCACATATCGCTAATTTCAACACACTTGATAAGTTAGAGTTACTTCTTTTAGAATAAATTCTTATTTTTGTGATTGAAGTTTTCCTTTTATCTATTTCAAATTAGTTCCCAGTCCCATTCCAAATAGTTTTGTAAAAGATCAAGCTTTGAGTATTTCCTTGCAAATAGGTGAATCACAATTCAAAATATATATATATACAAAAATATATTTAAATATACTAAAATTGGTTCAATTTTGAAGTTCTACAAAAGTCTTGAAACTTGTTAATTGATGTTTTATTAGATCAATCTTTTTTTCTAGTCATTTATTTCTATGCGAGAAAGGTTTTAATAAAAATTAGCTAAATAAAAATTAATTTTTTTTTTTTAAAATTCTGATTCACTTCCAACAAGGCTCTGAGCAACCACTATTATGTTGGGAGTTACTAAAAAAAAAAGAATGGAGTTATACAGCAAAGAAACGATTAACAGAACACTTGAAAAGTTGTAGGTTGTTTGAGTCAGGAAAACATGAAGATGAAAAGTTTTTAAAGCATGCAGTGACAAATACATTAAACGAATGAGACTTTGCTAAATGACAAGCGTCATTCAGCAAATAGTCAAACCAATTTTGACTTGAAGACTAACCGACCCAGAACTAACTACCCAAAGTTCAAAATTCGATTAAAAATGTGTCAAATAACTTTGTAGGAAAAAAAACTAAAGATAAATTTATTGAATAAGAAGTTACATAAAAAATAGAGTTACTTTATATTATTAAATAAATTTATAAAAAAATATCTTTCATTAGTTTGTTTAAAGAATTAAGTATTACGGCTGTTTTTACAAAATTGTATTTGTTTTAAAACATCCTAATAGGCTTTTTCTTTTTAAAAATTACGTCCTAAAATTTACTAATCGCTTACATAATTAAAAAAAAAAGAATAACTTAATATAGAAATAAGATTTTAATTTTAAAAATCAAGAACTAGGTACAGGTAACAAACAGTTTGCCAGGTATGAGAGTAAAATCAACAATGTGAAGAATTTTTTTTGATAATGTGGTGACATAACTGGTGATGGGTGATGATGATGGGGTGACATAACTCCTGGAAATATTACTGAAAAATACACAGTAAAAAATCATTCAATTTTATGATCAAATTTTGTACATAACATTTGTAGAAACTAAACCTTGTCAAATTTCGATCATTAATAATTTTCCACTTTCCTGAAGTTTTTCGTGGTATTTATTTTTTATTGATATTTATTTTTAGCCAGGACCTGGAGCACATTTGGTTTCAAATTAAAAAACGATTGCTTGCTGTCATCTACGTTTTGTTTAAATCTAACGTCTTTGGGATATCTTTAAAAGTTTTTTCAAATTCTTTATAAAAAAATTTTCGAAATTTAAAATATATTAAATGTTTAATATGATATATTAAAATGTTTAAGATTTATTAAATGTTGAACTAAGAATGTTGAATGTTTTTCACATGCTTGATTAAAAATTTTTTTAAATTTACATTTGCATTAGTAATCCTTGCAAACAATCTTAGGGCAATCGTTGACGTGTGCACTACGTTCAAGTAAACTATGTTTAAGTATACGTTAGGCTCATAGTTTATTCCTTAAAGTTTTTTTTAAAGTTGTAAAACTTCTATATTGTAAAAATCTAATATTATATTAACCCGAGATAATGTTATTTTATAAAATTGTAAATATTTATTGTTTTATAATAATAAAAAAAGAAAAAAAAGGGTTGAAAATTTCCGGAAATTTTGAGGGAAATTTTGCACAAAATTTCCGGAAATTTTCAAAAACTTTTAATTTCAATAAACTTATAATTATTACTTAGTTTAATAAAATTCTTTGTTTAAAAAAATATGCGTTTCATCATCGTAGTATTTGGGTATTCTTTGAATTTTTCAACAAAAAATATAAATTAATATTTAATAAATAATAATATATAATAAGTGATAATATATAATAAATAATAAATGCCCACTTGCGATAAATGCTTAATTTCATTCAAATTTTTGTAGTAAATTTAAAAATCGCGCATTTTTTTAAAAAAACAATAAAATGCTTAAGTTGTTTTATGTTACTTTTACTTACATTACTTTTGTGAAACAACAAAAATTGATGTTTACCGCGTTAGCTTGTCCTTTGAGCTGGTGTATAACATATTTTTAGCTTTTACTTCTCTCAACTACAATGTAAAATATTACCAAAATACAAAGAATAAAGTCTTTTTTTAGATTAACAGTTTTGTTGTGTTTTTTTTTTTAGAGAGTTTTAAAGAAAAAAAGATTTTTTTTGTGTAAAGATTGTATGCCAAGACAATTTTAGGGGGAAGGTGCGAAGGGAAAGGGGTGTCCAATAGGGTATCCCGTACTTTTCAACTTTATCTAAAAAAGTTGGTTCTTACAATTTTTTTACTGTTAGGTATATACATTATAGAAAGACATAAATAAATTTATTAGAATAAAGGCAACTTTTGCAAAAAATTGACCTTAAGTTTTCAAAAATTAACTCAAATGTGGAGGGGGACCAAAATCATATTATGTCTTTGATTATCCTATATAGATGGTAAAAAAAACTTAAAAAACTTTTTTTAATAATGTCGGTAAATATAAAACAGTTTTAAAATATTTTAGTTATAAATAGAGTAGTTCTCAAGCGCTCCTTCCTTCAACAACCTTCACCCCCCCCCCCCACCCCAATCCCTTGTGTAAGTGGTTTTATAAATGCTTACTAAAAATATGAGGGCTATGTAAGTTAATAAGCAAAAGTGAAACTCATTTTTCAATCTTTATAACTCTATTAGAGGTATTGAAAAAGAATGCTGAAATTGAATGAGGTTCTTCTTGCTGTTAAAACTAGGTATTATCGATCTATTTTCTGCTCTTGCACGGATAAATCCATCTCGTCTCTCAAAACCAAACACTGTTTCAGAAGCTGCAGTTACCTAAATAAAATAAACACTTTTTTAAAAGCATTTTTAATGCAGTAATTTTTTTTTTATTACATTTTTAACAACTAATAAATTATTGAGGTGAACTACCATAGTAGTTCACAAAAACCCAGGATTTTTTTAAGCTTATTTATGTTTATTTGACAGATTAAGATGGGTTCATAGGCCTCTTTCCATGTTATTAACTCAATCAATTTGGTTGCACACAGGTTTAAATGAGGAAGCTTATATATTTTAGGAGCTAGAGTTCCCTTTTCCTCATTTTTTCTAATTTCTAAACTTTTGTTTACAGCAAATTCCCTTTCAATTTTATTTTGGCTGCAAAGTAATGTCTGCAATAAGATTTTAGAATGTGAATTCCATGCTAATAATCTCACATATTTTTCAATATCTTTTTGTACATTTTTATCTTGAAGTTTAATAAGGTTAAGTTGGTTCAAGATGTGACGTGGCCCTTCTATCCAGCTATTCTTCACTTTGGGAAGTATACTGATTCAAGAAACTTAACAATTAATTCTAGATTTCTTAGGTCATCTCCCTCTAACCCATGCTTGCATATCCACAATAAAAGTAAGGAAGAGCCTGTATTGAGCCACCTTGAATGAACTATAGTGCCTGGTTTTTGGTTTGCCAAACCTTCAGAAAGAGTTCTTAAAATTACTGTCTGGCATATTTTATAAGCATATTTCTGATCTGAAAACAACTATTTATTATTTCTTCATCAAGTTCAATTAAACCAGGACCTATAGATATTGGCTTGAAACTGTAATTTCTTTCCATTTCAGTAACCTTGAAACGCAACTTACCAATCGGTCCTGAAAACCCTGGCTTTGAGGTTGTCTTCCCATCAAGTTCTTCTATTAAATGGCGAAAACAAAGTTCGTTTGTGTGAAGAGAACATATTAGCCACCCTATTTTTCTTTCTAATTTAACCTCTAAACAATAAATAACACCCCCATTATGGCCTGTATTTGTAGCTGTGCTATCAAAACCAATGAACTTTAGGCTATGTTCAACACCATGCAAAATAGACCATTGAAATATTTTATTTCCTATATGTTCGGCAAGCTTAATTTTTGATTTTTCACATATTTCTCCTTTTGTTAAATGATGAAGATATCTACCATATTCATCGGTCGAAGTGTAGTGATCTTCCTTTTTAATCAAAGGATAAAAAAATTTTTGGTTTCTTTATTACATGTCAATAAATTGATTTTGTCATTTCTTCCATCAAAGTAATACAAGAAACATCCACAGAATCTAATCTGTTCTCTGCAAAAACCTGACATTCTTACATAACTTTATCTTTGGCTTTATGCACTTTACTTTTGTCCAGTAATAAAAAATGAGCTGAGTCTGGAACAACTTTAGCTGCCACAAAATCTTTTAAAAATCCTGAAGCAATTGGAGCTGCAGCAGTGTTTGAATCTTATTGCAGCGATAGCAGTATTTTGAATCTTCATATAATTTCGCTTTACTTTGAAATCATCACTTATGTTTAATAAATCAATATTTTCAGTGTAACTACAAAATTCAAACTCATTCTTAGAGCAATCTTCTTTATCGTTATTTTTTTCTGAAATCTCAGCATAGGTTCTTTTTGAATAGCTACTATTCATCATCTCCTTTTCTTTGAACTTTTTCAAATTCTGTTCTTTCTTACTACATCGCTCAAATGCCTTTCGCTTCATTTTAATCTCTATGTAGTCATTTGATCCTATCATAATTTGAGACTGCTCTCTTTCTTTATTTCTCTGTGAGTGCATAAATTCTAATTCTAGTATAGGAATCCTCAATGACTTTTCACATTTACAGTCAATATGAATTCTTTTTTCACATCCAAGACAACTTGATTCATTACAGAACAAAATTGCACATTTGCAGTTAGTTATATCAAAGAGTGGTGACCAAAACTTCATTATTTTGTTAACTTCTACTCTTTTTGTTAATCTTTTTTTGCAAACATTCTGAACATCATTGTAAATTTGATCTTTCTGTCAATGGACTAATCTGTAAAAATAACTGGATGTAAAAAGTCTGAGTTTGCTTTTTTCAATTGTTTAACAATTTCTAATCTTGTTTCCCTAATCAAATCATCTACTGGATATACTTTTTTTCTGACAATTCTTAAATGAGTATAGCTTTTCGAAAAACAGCACCATTAGTTGGTATTTCAGATGGAATAAAGTCTCTACCTTTTACTTAAGACAAAAGTTTATCATATTATTATTATTATTATTATTATTATTATTGTTATTATTGCTATTGTTGCTATTATTATTATTATTATTATTATTATTATTATTATTATTACTATTATTATTATTATCGTTGTCTACATAATTATCATGTATATTTCATATATAAGTAAAATGACATATTAAATTATCTTGTGAGCCTGAATGAACTTTGAACTTTGAAAGTGTAACATTATTTTACCTATTCATATTCAAATTAAAAAGACCTTTATATAAACACTAGCCTATTTTCTACCCCTATCCCAACCTTGCAGCGCCCCTCCCTCTTTCCTTCCCGGTAGGATTTGAAGCCCCAGTCCGCGCCTGCCTGTTCATAACATAAGTTTATAAAATAATTCTTTCAAAGTAAAAATATCGATTTCAAAATTGTTTTCAAGATTTGGTTGCCAACTTTCACTTGATTTTCTAACTTGTTTTCATTCTTTTGTGTTCTTTGATAACTGTCTTCCTTCTTTAATAACTTCTCTTTCTTTTTTTTTCCAACAACGCTTTTTCATTTCTTGCTCTATAAGCTTTTGATCTTTCAGCATCTGACTTAGACATTTAAAAAATGTTATTAAATTTAACTTTTGAGATTACCATTTAAAAAAATTATTTCAAAAATACCATTTAAAAAAAATCAAATTATAATACAAAATGAAGTAAAAACAAGATCAAAAGATATAAACAAATGAAGATAAAAAGCCAATCAAAATAACGTACCAAACAGAAAAAAAAGATTCGTTAAAAAAAAATAGTTCGAAAATGTATAAAAAAAAAAAAAAAAAAAAAATTCGAAATGAATTAAGTTAGTAATTTTGTTTAGTGAATAAATTTTTTATAATAATGTGTATTTTTATTGTTATATTTATATGTCGTGTATTTTTGTGTATGCATTTAATGCATTTTTTACTTTTATTAACCTTAATTATTATATTAAAATTAATATTATTATATTTCTAAAATTATTATATTTATTGAGTCTGTAGTCTTTTATCGATAATCGTTTTTATGTCATCGTTAATAGTTACGGTTTGTTAGTTTATTACTGTTGGTAACTGTAACTACTAATTGATTGTTGTATGGAAGATTGTATTGATTGAATTCTTTTAGTTAATGGTTTTTTTAATTTTTGTTGACGTAATTAATAAACAGCCTTCTATTAAATATTCATTTAACAATTAGGTTATATATGTATTGTATTTATTATTGTCATGT